GTCTACAGCCCTGTTGTTTATGAACAAACACAGAGTTACTTCCTCCTCTCTACTTTGTATGCTCCCTTTTCTTTTTCTTGCCTCATTGCATCGGCCAGGACTGTGACACAGGGTTGCAGATGACACTCTTGCTGTGCCTACATGACTGAGCTAATGGGGCGGTGGAACAGATGGTGCAGGGACCCCAGGAAACCACAAGAGGAAGGTAATACAGGACTTTTCTTTTGGGGTCTGGCTGACGTCTCAATGTTCATTAAAGAGCAAACCCTAGAAGAATATCACATATTGTATAATTCATGAGACGCAGGCCAGCTATATAATATGCAGGCCCAGTGAAAAATGAAAATGTTGGCACCTTGTTCAAAACGCAGGACAAAAGCCCTTTTATTTCTTTCGAAGTCTCTCTCCCTCTCTCTCCCGCCCTCCCGCCCTCCCTCCTTTCTTTCCTCCCTCTCATCTACTCTTTCTCTCTCTGTCATGATCTCTGGGGCATGGGAATATTTACAAGGCAAATACAGACCCTCATAGGCACCAGGGATCCCACTCTACCACTTAGTATTCCGGTCCACGTGCCCATCTCCACCCCTTCCCACCCTGTGTTCAGGCCTCTGATAGAGCAGAGGTGGCAGTGGTCACTGAGTGGGGGTGGGTAGGTGGTGAGAGATGTGGCCACTTTCGAGCCCAGGCTCCAAGCCCAGAACATGCTCCATCTTCAAAACACAAATTCAGCAATGAAATTCCTAAAATTTCAAGACAGTAACCACAGAGCATTAAAATTGCAAGCAGGGTCCTCCTGAGCACAGACACCCCTGAGTATGGGCCCTCCTGGGTGTGGACCTCCCTAAACATGAACCCCGGAAATGCCACTTTGGTCAAACACCGACTTCCCTGCATATCTGGGCCGGTTTCCGGCTTGCTCTTCTCTCCCAGGTCTGTCTGTTCCTGCACCTGACCGGGCATGTTGTGCCGAAGGGAGGGCTGGTCCCAACACAGAGCCTTATTTTCAGTGTCTGATGACTATCTTTGAGGGATCATTCAGAAGCTATTTCTTGTGACAGAGATTTATTTATGTACCATTTCGCAGTCCTCAAATTCTCTCCATGCCTTTTTCTCCTGTTATAGTCAAAGAAAATCCTACCTGCCTCTCCCTCTGCCTTCCACCTCCTTCATGAGCCCGTCAGTCTTCCTTCAGTGGCGGGTGTGGGCCCGCCCCACCAGGCAGACACAGGAGTTTCTCTGGCCGTGCCATTGGCAGTGAATTTTTTGGTTCCTTATCGCTTTCTCTTTGATAACTTTTGGAATTGGTGGACTCTACCCGTGCACACGCCCCTCCTCTAGAGAACAACCAAGCCGTTATTCTAAAAAAAAAGGATTTAAAAGGAAGGAGCCACACACCCAGATGGTTCGGGTGGAGGAGGGGCAGAAGCCGGTGGCAATCCACAAACGGGGGCTCCGTGCATTCATAGCGCCTGGAAACATCTCTGCTTGGTATCTCTGACAGGCAGAGGCTTTGTGGGAAAACCATTTTTATTTCAGGATCCGCCGAGCCCGCCCCCCCGTTGGCCCCGCGTTTCCTTCCATTCTGCTGCGGCTCCATTCTGTCCTTCCACCAACAGAAGAAACCAGAAGGTGCAGGAAGAGAGATAAACGCCGACAAACGGCGCGGCCTCTGCCCCACGTGTCGGCTTTCGGGCTTTGTCTTCCTTTTTCACAAAGAGGTGCCTTTCTGTTTGGTGGGCTTCTCATGACTCATTTGAGATCCTGGTTACTGAAGAGATGGAAGCGGGTGACTTAAATCTGGGCTGGAGAGGGGTTTCCTTAACAGCCTCTCGGCGCGTGGGAGCCGGTCCTGCCCGGCCTTGCTGGGTGCGGTGTGGGCTTTTCATGCCTGGTTATGCTAATCCTGCTCAAGCCACTCGGCAGAAAATAGTCTAAAAATACCCTCCCCATCACGGTGGCTCTGGCTCAATAAAACCAGCAGGGCCCTTAGGTTGACGGCATCTGGTTAAGGAAGGGCAGGCACCGCCACCACTGTGGTGTGGTGGCTGCTGGGCCCGTAGCCCAGGATGCCAGCGTGGCGGCCGCTACTCCTGCCTCTGCCGCTGCACCTGGAGTCAGGGTTCCCTCGCGCCGCCCTCTGCTCCTGGAGGTCCCCCACACGCTCAGCTCAGCAGCAGCGTCCTTTTCCAGAGGCCTGGGTGCTGCCCCACTGGCCAGTTTCTATGCGGCGCCTCCCCCACATCTCCCAGGGGCTCGGGACCCCCACATTGTCGAGAAGGACTCCCTGGGGCAGGTCCGACAGGTGCCCTTTCCCGCTGACCGAGGGTCCGCGTAGGCTCACGGCACTTCCTGAGCACTGTGCCCTCACCATGACCCACTGGCAAGCTGTGAATGAAGAAGGGACAGGCATGGCTCCCCTTCCTGCGCTGCCTTCCTGTCAGCCTCCCTGACAGTGACTCCTGTAGAATTCTCCTTCCTCCCCACCCTCACGTTCACCCATTCCTATCCTGGAACCCTAAACAGGAGGCTCTGCTCACCCGCAGCCCCCAGGTTTCACCTGCTCAGGAGGGTAGGACGCTGCATAGTGGGTAGGCAGCAGGCAGACGACTTAAGAAAGTGGCTTCCAGCCACTCCCTGCGGTTGGGACCCTCCCTGGGGGCCACCCTGAGCTCTGAAGGTTCAGAGGCTGGCTTCTGGGTCAGCTGTTTCCTCACAGCTTCTGTCCAGACCGGGGAGGACCCTCCCTCTGCACTCCCAAACTGGCAGGCGATGACGCTAATCCTCCGCTCAGGAGCTGTGATGGTTAATCTCACCCGTCAACTTGATATTTGGCTCAGATATTTGGTTCAGCATCTCTCTGGGTCTGTGTTCGAGGGTGTTTCTGGGTGAGATTAACATTTACATAGGTAGACGGAGTAAGCAGATTGCCCTCCCCAAACGGTGGGCCTCAACTGATCAGGTGAAGGTTTGAGGATGGCAAAAAGACTGACCTCCCCCAAGTGAGAAAGGACTCTCCTGCCTGGTGGCCTTTGAATGGAGACACTGGCCTTTTCCTGCCTTCAGCTGGAACGAAACCTTCAGCTCTCTTGAGTCTCCAGCCTGCTGACTCAGCCTGCAGGTCCTGACGTGTGTCAGCTTCCATCATCGTGTGAGCTAATGCCTTGTGATAAATCTCTCCCTATATATACATCTGTTAGTTCTGTTTCTCTGGAGAGCCCCGAGAATACAGGTGTGCCGGCCTGGAGTTCCATGGAGAGGTGTAGGCAGCAACCTGAGTTATCACGGCAGCATGATGAGATCCCATGGGAGTGGCTGTAGGAGAAGCAAAGGGGTGCACGGATGAGGTCAGGGCAGAGAGAGGGGGCCGCGGGGGCGGCCAGCAGGGGTGCTGTGCTGGGAGCTGCGTCCTCTCCCTGGTCCCCACGCAGAGACGCTTCCTGTCCTGTAAGGGCTTGTCCATAGTTTCCAGTTCTTTCCTCTGCAAACAGCACAACCTGAGGACCTGACGCCACTTCCTCTGGACTTGCCAGCAGTGGCTGGCAGGCAGGCAGGGCGTGCTCACTCGGAATCCGACAGTGTGGGAACTCTGCCCGCTCCTTGTGAGTTGAGCTCATCGCTTTAAGATGACAAATTGAGCAAAATTCTACAACCTAACAACTCCTAGAGTGGCCTGTGTCCACCTCGGTCGATGGGCTGTGGCTGCATTAAGGCTCCTGGACACCCGCCTGTTTGGTTATGCTCAAGGCTCTGGCCTATTACCATCCAGGCTGGGGAGCCAAGTTGGCGCCCAAAGCATGTTTCTTTGTTTAATGGGCAGTCTCTGGAGGGCTCCAGTTCTCTTCTAGGTTTCCCCCTCCTCGGGGCACCATCTTTGCCAACCATTTTCCTACCAGGAGGCCGCTGGTCCCCAGGGACTCACCCACCTGCAGCTCAGAGTGCCCCCTCCTCGACCCACAATCCAGGTCCAGGGTCTCGCCATGGGAGGAACAGCTATCAAAATGCAAACTCCAGTTGTACCCAGCAGGTTCCAGTTGTGTCCAGGGTAGTCTATCTGGAACTGATGACTTGGAGAATTTTAAGAAGAGCTCATAAAATATGAATTTGTGATTGAATGGAGTGAAACAACCATATACCTTAATTAAATTAAGACCAGACTCTACGATAATAACGTTTTGATAGCGCTTGCTATGTGCCAGATGCTAATAGAAGTACATACTTTACATATATTTGCATATTTGATCCTCAACACAACCCACGAGGTTGCCATGATTACGGTTCCCACTCATGGATAAGTAGATTTAGGTAGAGAGATGCCATGCAGCCCTCCACTCAGGCACAAACAGCAAGTGGTCAATTACCATGAAAACCAGCCAACTTAGCTATGAAATGGTAAAATTAAAGGAGTAACCAGGCACCAGCTTTAGGCACCCGATTAGCAAATACTAAAACGAATGTCATGGGGGGAGGACACTTCGGGGACATTGGCGCTTTTGTCGCTTGTCTCTGTGGGATACTTGGATGTCACCTACCAGAAACCTTAAAAATGAGTCCAACTTCTTAGAATTTGTCCTGAGGATATGAGATATGCCCCCAAATATAAGCACAGCCGTATTTTCACAGCTTTCTGACAAAAGCTAAAATCTGAACAACTTAAATGGTCAACAGTGAAGAATTAGTCAGTAAATTGTATTTATTCAAACAATGTCAGTCTACGCAACTCTCCATTTACTGACCTTGAAAACTGCTAGTGATGTCATTGTTAAATGAAAAATCCATACGACAAATCATATATTACATGCTCATATAGGACAACGTGCATAGTTATCTATGCTCAGATAGAGACAGGCATATGAGGCATTTTTCTGTAGGATGGTGTTATGAGTGTCTTCTTCTTTTTGTTTATTAATTATACTGTTTGTCATGAAGATGTGTAGCTCATGCAGCAAGCGTGGAAAAGGTGCCTCCCATGGTGTGAGCAGACTCCGTGTTCCATTTCTTAGGTCTCAGGTCTCTGGAAAACGTGGAACAGCCGACCCTCTGCAGTCTGGCTCCTGCCCTGGCTCCTGCTCAGAGCTCTGCCAGTGCGCGGAGCCTTCTGGAAGGAAAGGCCTTGCCAGCTCCCTTTGCTGGAAGAGTCTGCAGTTAATTAAAGGCTCTCCTCTGAGCACACCTGTCTGGAGTCTGGTCGCTCGGCCGCAGGGAGCACCTGCCGGGCGCTCGGGCACCTGGGGATGGAATGTGCTGGACGTGCAGCGGCAGGTCATAGCGGGAGCTCTAGCCCAGGACGGAGAGAAAACAGCGAGTGTGAGCTGAGCCTCCGCGATGGCTGCTGGGAGGACTATGGTCACGACGCGGTGCTGGGAACACAAGCCCAGTGTCTGAGGACGACGCTTCTGGAGAGGTCCAGTCACAGAGCAGAAGCTGGTCCCATGAGGTGAACAGAAAACCCAGAAATGCTCAGCAAGATCTCAGGACGAAGGGGTAAAGGAACTCTTACACTTGGCTGGGCGTGTGGGGTGGGCTAAATGCTCCAACCAGTCGTCACAAAAGTGCTTCATTGGCTCAAACACGTGACCAGTGTGGTCCTTGAAAGGGGTTCGTCTGCTGGGCCGCAGGGTGAGGGCCGTGGGAGGGCCTGAGTAGCACAGAGGGTCCCTTCCCCACTCAGCCACTCAGGGACCAAGCTGCCATCTTCCAAGGGACTTTGCAGGTCGCTGGGCTGCCTCCCTTCCCACCGGCTGCGAGGAAGAGAGCAGGGAGGCGAGGGCCTCTGGAAGCATCTTGCTCCCACAGTTTGTTGGCTAGAACTTGGTCCCGGGCCACTGGCCACAAGGAGGCTGGGAGTTGCCCCCAGAGTGCGGCCCAGGAAGGATGACGGGGTCTGTGAAGCAGCGGCTGGCGTCTGCGTGCATTAACAGTTAACCGTGGGATATGCTGACCCTTGAGAAGTTGCAATGTTTTCTAGAATAAAAAAATGATTAAGGAAAGTTTGCATGTGGCCATGACAGGAATAGCTTCATGAGCGGCCCTCTCATTAGACAGGGTGGGTCACTGCAGCTCTGCCACAGAAAGCAAGTAGCAAAGGCACTTCTGGACCCACAAACCTGCCATTTATAACATCTTTTCTCCTTTAAAAGAGCAAATGTAAGTAGTATAATTATTTTGTGAGCATACAGAGAAATTGATTTTAGATTCACAATTACTGAAAGTATTTAATTATGTGGTTCTTTACCAAAATTAATGCAAATATCATAAAAATGTGAACTTGATTCCCCGGGCCGGTGTTGCTCGGTGGTTAGAGCATCAGCCTGCACACCCTAGGGTTGCAGGTTCGATTCCCAGTCAAGGGCATGTACCTGGGTTGTGGGTTCCCTCCCGCCCCCAGTCGATGTGTCTCTCTCACATCTATGTTTCCCTCTCTCTCTCCCCCCGCCCTCCCTTCCATTCTCTCTGAAAAAGGTTTGGAAAAAATATCCTCAGGTTGACTTGAAGATTTTGTTTCTAAAAAGGGCTTTTGTGGCAAACATTGCATATCTTTGAATGGCTTTTAATTTTTAAAACACATTTTCCTGTTTTTCTTCCAATGTGTTTTTTTTTCTGGTATGTTTTTTTTTTTTTTTTTGATCCCCGTACAACTTTGCTCTGACCACACTTATTTTTCCAAATTCTTTTGTAATTGAATCCTGTATTTTCAGTTTGTACCAAAACTATGTGAAAGCTACCTCGACCAAGAAGTCCCTGGGCTAATGTTCACCAGATGGGCTGCCGCGTGCATGGCCTTCTCTGCAGGACGCATCGGACTCCTGCCCAGATGGGCAGGGAGCTTCCTGAAAATGGACAGGGTGGGGGCAAGACGGCGTGTTATTGCCCCTAGAGCCGCCGACACGTAGAAATGAAGAGAAGAAACCGTTCCTCTATCCAAACTGTTTTCAGGTTGAAGGACATTGGATGAGAAATCCTGATCAGAAGAAGGTACATTTAGCATCATCATTGATAACAATTTCCACTCAACATATTTTTAATCTGGGTAACCCCCCCCCCCAAATATAAAATGTTTAAGTTCAGCTATTGAATATGGAACTTTCCTTGCAAATTATTTCTTACCAAAGGGACATGTCAATCTAGTGACGGCAGTCTATTTTAGGGGCTTACTTTCTCTCCCAGTGGAATGCGGGGAGTCCACGAGCAGATGGAGAAAGCCGGATCCTGGTTTTACTGTAGCAGGCGGCCAATTCCTCAGGCTGAGGAGTTTTTAAATGTTGAAATGTATTCTGCAGGAGAATCTTAGGCGTTAACTATCCAACCTCGTGTTGGCCTGTGAAACGTAATCTTCAGCAAAGAAATAAAAGCAACTCTAGGCTTCTATTTTATTGAGCTCCTCTGAGAGTAAAATTATGCAATCACATAATGGAAGTGGCTTTTTTTTTTTCTCTTTTTTTTTTGTTACAGCTTCTGGCTACCAGTCTTCACCACCACCGCTTTGGACACAAAATCAAAAAGACCAGCTGGAATGGAATGATATGCATACCAGCAATATTTCTTACTCTCATCACATTTTGTGCAAAATAAACACCTAATAGTTTAAGAACAACTTTGGATGTATTTGGTTTACTTCCAATATGTACGTGATTAATTTTTGCACTTTATAAGAGTCCGTTCTCCCATCTTAAGTTCTGCATGCTGAGCGCCCTGACGAGTGGTGCCCGGAGGGGTGTGGTGTGGGTTCCTGGCCTCCCTCTCCTCCCCACCCCTCCCCCACCTTTCTTCATGCTTACATTTCACTTTAAATATCCTTGCACCTCCATCACCTGCTTTATTAACCTCAAATAATGCCTTTGGGCCGCTGGCCGCACAGATGTGGACACGAGCACACTCTTTCTCCTGCCCACCTGCTTGCCCCTCTACGCTCCAAACCCTTGTGAGTGTTCGTTAGGATTTCTCTATGGTCAGAAATTTATGACCTAACATCCTCACACATTTAGTCACTTTGTTCTGGCCTTCGTCCTGTGGTTAAGCGGATTCACAGCTCACTGCTAGTTATTTTGATAATTTTTTAAAATTCATTTTTAGTTGGCTGAAATATACCCGCTAGCGCATAAGAATCCTATCTCCTGCCCTAACTGGTTTGGCTCAGTGGATAGAGCGTCAGCCTGCGGACTCAAGGGTCCCGGGTTCGATCCCGGTCAAGGGCATGTACCTTGGTTGCGGGCATATCTCCAGTAGGGAGTGTGCAGGAGGCAGCTGATCGATGTTTCTCTCTCATCGATGTTTCAAGCTCTCTATCCCTCTCCCTTCCTCTCTGTAAAAAAATCAATTTTATATATATATATATTTAAAAAAAGAATCCTATCTCCTGAGTGTGGCATGTTGAAAAATGTTTGTAGTTGCCTGTCCCTTAGGACACACATATGGACTATTTCTGCAATTATTTCGTTCTTTGTTTTTTTTCATCAAAGCTTTGTGGTTTTCCTCATAATAGATCTTGTACATATTTTGTTAGATATATACCTAAAAATTTAATTTTTGTGGTGCTAATGTAAATGGTGTTGTGTTTCTAATTTCACATCCCACCTGTTCATTGCTGGTATATAGGAAAACAATTGACATTTGTATATTAACCTTGTATCCTGCAACCTTCCTATAATTAATTATTACCTCCGGTGGGGTGTTGTTGTTTTTTAATCTTTTGGATTTTCTACATAGGCATTCGTGTCATCCACAAAGTTTTATTTCTTCTTTCCCAATCTCTCTACCTTTTGTTTCCTTTTCTTACCTTATTGCATTAGGTAAGACTTCTGGTATGACGTTAAAGGAAGTGAGAGGGGACACCCTTCCCTTGTACCTGATGCTAGTGGAAAAGGGTTGCATTTCTCACCATTGAGTATGATGTCAGTTGTAGCATTTTTGTTGATATTCTTTATCAAATTGGGGAAGTTCTCCTCTATTTCTAGTTAACTGAGAGTTTATACATTGTTGGATTTGCTCTGGTAATTTTTTGTGGAGGATTTTTGCATCTATGTTCGTGGGAGATATTGATTGGTCTGTAGTTTCCTTTTCTTGTAATGTCTTTGGTTTTGTTACTAGAGTAATGTTGGCCTCATCAAATGAAGTAAAAAATAATTCCCTCTGCTTCTTTCTTCTGAAAGAGATTGCAGAAATTTTGTATATTTTTTCCCTTAAATATTTGGTAGAATTCACCAGTGGACCCATCTGGGCCTGGTGCTTTCTGTTTTGGAAGGTTATTAATTCTTCATTAGGTCTCTTTAATAGCTAGAGGTCCATTCAAATGGTCTATTTCTTCTTGTGTGGGTTTTGGCAGATCATGTCTTTCAAGGAATCCTAGTCCTTTTCACCTAGGATACCAAATTTGTGAGCATAGTATTGTTCACAGTATTCTTTTATTATTATTTTGATGACTGTGATATTTGTAATGATATCCCCTTTCTCATTTCTGAAATTAGTGATTTGTGGCCTCTCTTTATTCCTAGTTCGCCTGGATAGAAGTTTATTGGTTTTATTGCTCTTTTTAATGAAATAGCTTTTGGTTTTGTTGATTTTATCTATTGGTTTCCTGTTTCCAATATCATTGATTTCTGCTCTAATTTTTATGATTTATTTTTTCCTACCTGCGATGGATTTACAACTTGCTCTTCTTTTTCTAGCTTCCTAAGGCAGAAGCTTAGACACTTAACTTTAGATCTTTTTCTTTTCTAATATATGCATTCAAGGCTACAAATGTGTCTCTAAGCAGTGCTCTCACTGCGTCACAAACATTCTGGTACGTTGTGTTTTCATTTTCATTTATCTAAAAATATTTTAAAATTTCTCTTGGGATTTCTTCTTTGACCCATGTTCTTTAGAAGTGTGTTGTTTAATCTCCATGTATTTTGGGATTTTTCCAGTTATCCTTCTGTTACCGATTTTTAGTTTCATTCCATTGTGGTTTGCGAGCAGATATGATATGATTTCTCTTCTTTTAAATGTGTTAAGGTGTGTCCTTGACCCAGAATGTGGCTTCTGTTGGTGAATGTCCCATGTGAGCCTGAGAAAAATGTGTGTCCCGCTGTTGTTAGATGGAGTCAGTAGATGTCCAGTGTATCTAGTTGATTGATGTTGTTGTTGAGTTCAACTATGACCTTGCTGGTTTTCTGCCTGCTGGAGGCTCCATTTCTTGAGCCCATTATTTGAATCACTGTGACCAGTGTGCTGTGTTCCTATGGCTGCTATTGTGATTTTCTACTGATCTTTGGTTTCCAGTGATTTGACTATGATGTACGTAGGTGTGGTTTTCTTTATATTTGTTCTGCTTAGGGTTTGCTGAGCTTCTTAAAGCTATAAATTTATGTTGTCCACCAACATTGAGAAGTTATAAGCTGTTACTTCTCTCCCTTTCTTCTCAGACTATAGTTAAATGTATACTACTATACTTCTTAGTATTACCTACAGGCCCTTTAAGACACACTTCATTATCAAAATCTTTTTCTGTATCTGTTCTTCTGAATGGATAAGCACATTAAAAAGTGATCAACGACATTATGTATCTGAGGCCCTGTGAACTAGAGCCTGCCCTGAGGCTGGGGACTGTAAAATACAGGAAATTCACCCAGTGCAATCCTGTCCCCCAGTGTCCCCCCACCCCGTCCCAATCTGCCTCATTTGGAGCTGCCTTCATCTATCATCTGAGTTTATAGTTGTCATCTGGGACGGGGATGGACAGATTAGGAGCTGCCTGGACTAAAAGCAGAGCCTGCTAAATTTCTTCTTTTGTTCACAAGTTCCCAACGAAAATATCTTAAAATATTGAGGTAAAACTAGCAGGGGGGAAATCAGCCATCGTCTGAAATTTCTCAGAGAAGAATTGTGTTCCCTGATCAAATCTTTATTAGTCCACATTCAAATTTCTTCAGATGCAAATAAGAAGCTGACATTTTATTTTTTAAATATATTTTTATTGATTTCAGAGAGGAAGGGAGAAAGAGAGAGAGAGAAGCATCAATGATGAGAGAGAATCATTGATTGGCTGCCTCCTGCGCATTCCCCACTGGGAGTCGAGCGCGCAACCGGGGCACGTGCCCTGACCGGGAATTGAACCGTGACCGCCTGCTTCATAGGTCGATGCTCAACCACTGAGTCACACCAGCCAGGCTGACATTTTATTTTTAGTGTTGAAAATAGTTGACTGATTTATACGTAGAGTGACAACTAAACCCTCCTTACACCAACGACAGTGAAGACCTTTCTGTGTCAGGCGGGGGCAGGTTCCCTCGGGCTCTGTCACATCCACTCAGGGCTCAGCATTCCCAGGGAGGCCCCGGACCCTCAACCACTGAGTCACACCAGCCAGGCTGACATTTTATTTTTAGTGTTGAAAATAGTTGACTGATTTATACGTAGAGTGACAACTAAACCCTCCTTACACCAACGACAGTGAAGACCTTTCTGTGTCAGGCGGGGGCAGGTTCCCTCGGGCTCTGTCACATCCACTCAGGGCTCAGCATTCCCAGGGAGGCCCCGGCTGGGACAGGAAGGGCGTCTGGTAGTCACCCAGCTTTGTGGCCTCATGTGCCCTGTTGGGATAGATACAATCTGTCTTGTTATTTTCCACTTTCTTTTGGTGTTAAATTCACTAAAAAAAAAAGAAGAAGAAGAAAAAGCCCAAAGCTGAACATCCGCACCTTCCGCATCGCTATGCTCACTTACTTCTGCTCACCTCAGAGCCCAGGCTCCGGAGGTCACAGGTCGACATCTGGTCCCTGCCGGCGCCTCCCAGCCTCCCCAGCACTGGGCAGAGCCTGCATCACCTTTGCTGTGTTCTCCCCTGCCTGGGTCTCGCCTCCTCTCTAATCAGGGAGGTGGTGTCTACGTCAGAAAATCGCAGCGCTGCAGTGACGCTCAGGGACGCAGAGAAGGAGTTGGCAGTTGGCTTTGAGTTGACGGGGGTCTCAGGGGAGGAAATGGGCCGCGAAGCCAGCCTTGCTAGCTTCCCACAGGGTGGATTCGGTGGTCCTGGCATGCAGGGTCCCTGACATCGAAACCAGGCCGAGAGAGAAGCGGTGAAGGCAGGTGATTTTGCATTCCCTGCTCAGTCAGCTCACCCGTATTACACAGCGGTGCCGTCACACCCACAAAGGCCTCCCAGAGACTATCAAGTGATAAATGTGCAAAGGCCATTGGCCAGCTAACGGTTTCCCTTAAGGCTGGGACAATTCCTGTGAAGGCAGAAATGTGTCAGGAAGGTAACAAGGCCTCCAGTCCACCTCGCCTTGACCGTGCCTCCCTTACCTTACCAAGGGCCACCTATACAATTGCTCAGGCGGGGCCTCTGAGCAACCAGAATGAAGTATTCTGGTTAAAAGGACCAACTTGAAAACTTATTTGTTTTCTTTTAGATTTTCTTACTCTTTCAGATTTTTACAATCCTTTTATTGTAACACAAACACATACTAAGAAAACCACACAAGACAAGCACAGCGGAATGAATTATAAAGTGAGCACCCATGACGTGGAACGTTGACCCCGGCAGCCCCTCTGAAAGCCCTTGCAGGCTCCACCGCCCTCCTCCCTCAGGAGCCACGACCCTGACCTTTA